CCCAATTGGCCTTCTAGCTATTTGTGGGCAAACTATTTCACTTTTATTTTTTGTAAAAAGATCAAATAATTTAAAAAGAAATAAAGAGATCAAAGATCGTAGAATATAGAGATGAGTATATGCCTACTTAACCCTTCCAACAGGTGGGGATACTTTTTATTATTACATGACCCGGGCAGTCAGAGGGCCAATAACTAAAATCAACCAATCAAAATGCTCTATTACCAGTCCAATATTCTCTAAGTATTGGACCGGGCACTGTCCCGAATGGTCCCGAATGATACCGCACTTGTGTCTCTTTGAACTTCAGTCGTGTAATAAATCTCTTATTAACCAAGCTTGCTCGGGACCGTACTGGAAGAATATCAGCCCTCGGTCTTTTCTGTACGGACCTTGCTGCGCTTGGTCTGTACTGTCAAGACCTCAGGCCGATATTCTCCCAGTACGGCCCTTGCACTTGGTTAATTATAATAAGATATATATCCTGACTCTCAACAGTCTGCAGTTACTGATACTCACATATACCTGTATTGTTCATGTGCAAATGTCCAACCTAAACCCTTTGATCCTAAGGAGTGACTATCACCTTACAATATCTCCTTACAATATCACCCTGAATCAAACAACAGCGTCATGAAAATATAGGAAACGATCACTGACTAATGTAGTTCTTGATTTTGAAATTCTCTATGTCAGCACTAAAGGAAATGTTTAGAGAGCAGCCAAAATGCAATACACAATTGAAAGCAATCACCTGAACCAATTTTAGCAAAGTTTAACATCACAAAGTCATTGGGTACTCAAAATGACAAAAAGAAAATGACTGTATATATTGTACATTATTTCAAATAGTTTCGTAGCAGATCAGTTGAGAGAATGGTACACATTTCTTTACCAATCATACAATGCAGTGAAGAAAACCAATACTATTATGATGAATTCTTTGATGATCATTTGAAAATATTTTTTAACCCTTTCCATTCTAATTCCCCTTACTGTCTGCCATACAACTCTTACAATGTTACTTTGGAGAATTGGATATTGGATCAGCTAATAATTCCCTCCTTGATATTTTTCTTTATTCTCTCCACTTCTCTGCTTAATATTGTATTGATGCTGTGAGGAGAAATTCTGTCTTGGTGATGATCACTCATGCGAGTAAACGGGTTACTTAATGAATCTCACCTGACACCTGTCCATCATCCTCTATTGTCCTCACAGATGACATATGCATCACTCGACTTCCTTTTGTATCAAATGGACCCTGTCTTGTCAAGTCTGGGGGAGGGGTTACAGGGGGAAAACTGCTTGTGCTGTGGCGGTGTTGAATGTACATGTCAGAGGGAGGGGAAGGGAATTCCTCAGAGCCTGCTCGAGGGATAGAGGTGCGAGAACTGACCGAACCAGGCGGTGTGTACTCATTTGGAGCCTGGTTTCCTATTGAGTCTTGAGAGGATACAGAACCTAAAATTTAAGTAAAGGAAAAATCAACAAGGTTACTGGTTAAAACAAATTAATTAAATTAGCAACATGCCAAATTGGGAATCATACTTGCTGGTTAATTGAAACTTTCCAGCAGAGCATTAAAAAGCATTCTTATAAGGACAACCAAGCCAAACCCCCAGTCTCTCTGACAGGAAGCAACATGTATTTTAACAGAAAAGGTAAAGCCTGCTTACAAGCCAAGTGGCCCATCAGGCCAGCGCTTAACTCTGGTTTCCTTACCATGAAGTGACTAGGAGTATTTCTACTCCCCCCCCCCCAATGGAATGCGAGTCCATCGCAGAGTTACCCCAGCATTAAATTTGCTGGTACCCATTCAACTCTTCTGAATGAAGAGACAAACTATGAGAGGAAAGTGTCTTGCCCAAGAACACAACATATTGTCCCCAGCCAGGACTCAAATCCAGACCACTGGAGTCAAGTGCACTAACCATGCGGCTACTGTGCCTAAATTTTAACAGATTATCATAACTATATCATACTGGGTGAAGAAGGACTTGAAAGTGCTCAAGACTGCTCAAGAACCCACCACAATACAACCTAGAATAAAACCTCTTTAACTTAAGTCCATTGCACTCAGCTTCATCTCCTTACATATTTCTCTTTCAAATGAACAATAACAACAATTAATAGCTGGCAGAGTTCAACATTTTCATGAAGTGCACGTGGAAACAGTGAAAAAAACCCCGTAATTAAATTTTTTTTAAATTCTATCAGCTGTTTGTTTTTAAATATTAGCTGCTGAAAATTCCAGATGCCATTCATTTTCTTGTATATAATCATTTATGAGAATTTTGTGTTAGATCAAGATAACAACTTCTACCTGATAAGTTTGAGTATTGTCATTACCTGTTTGCTGGATAATGCAGGGCTCGACCTACCGGTAGCCCACTAGCCACACACTAGTAGAAATTCAGTTTTGGCTAGTGGTTTTCGATTTCCACTAGTCAGTTTGGCTAGCAAACAAACTGAAATTGCCGTAACATCTAAGATGTCACTAGCCACTTGGCTAGTAAGTTGAAAAGTTAGTGTCAAGCCCTGATAATGTGTGGATAGTAAAGGAAAAGTTACATGTTAATCACTTCTGGTAGCCCAAGCCATCTACTCTGGTGACCAACATGCAAACTACATGTTAAAGGCCCTCATCTCTTGCATCAGTTTAACCTATGTACAAATGTACCTCTTAGAAGCTGTGGTTGTGTGCCATTCTCCATAGGTTTTCGTCTCATAAGTGACTGTCTTTTAAATGGTGCAGGCATCTCATCTTGTGTATTGAGCCTTTTTGCTAGGGCAACCTGCAGGGCCTCTGACCTTTGCACTATGATGACAATGAAATATGTGTTATATTTTGAAACATCTTGAAAGAATCACCATGTCACAAAGCTTCAACTTTGACACAAAAAGCATATTAAATCTGGAACCGCTTTTTAGTTCATTAAGTGTATAGAGCTCCAAGCTCAACCATTTTGAAATCTAAAATCATAACATGGTCACCATAAATAAAATCTTAGTCACTAGAAGTTACTCAAGGGAAAATTACATTTTGCCCAATATTACATTTTGTTTTAAAAAAATGTTGATCTTGCCTTAATTTTGGAAGAAATATATTTACATTAAAATGTTATATCTTATTGCCAGACTATCAAAACATACAGTCATGCAGGCTCTTAAATTCACAAGTTGAGAAGCAAATTTATTTCAAAATTCAATGCCAAACGTTTTTTTATCCTACTTGCCATGGCGACCAAATCAATCCCAGCTTAGAGCCATGATATATAAATAATAATTGATAATGTATATTTGAATTGATTATTGGCATGAGAAATTTACAATTTTTCAGATAACTTAAAAATAATTTTTTGTAAAATATCAATAGTGAAATTCATACAAGTAACAAAATAAACAAGCACTCTACATCCAACAAACTTAAATGAATAAAATTGCAAAGATAATAACCAAAATTCTAAAAGTTTAGATCTACTGCAAAACACAAAATCTTTCCAACCACATCTGAGTACCTTAACATATCATTTCATTGCAAATCTCAATATCAAATCTCACTTGCATGCAAATACAACATCATACATGCACCAACAAAGATTAAGCTCTGACTAAGTGAACAATAGCATAAGTTGTCCTTAATAGAGAGCTTGACACATCACAATGATAATTGACAAAAACATCACAATTATGATCTCAAAAGAATATTCACAAAACATCAAAATATAACTTTGCAACACAGGGAACACATTTGGATCAGCTTGATACTTAAAGCTAAATAATGATAAAGATGACAGAGTGAATCGAATACATGTATATACTAACACAACAGATCGTTGTTGTTCAGGCCTTCTTTCTTGTCAACTTCATGTTGAATTAGCTGTGCCTGGTCGGGATGCACATTTCCCATGTTCTTATGACATATAACATAACTTACCCGCGCTGTAGTGATCATTCATGTTTGGACTGCTTGGTGAAGCAACATTTGAATCTATAATAAGACAATAAATTTTTTGAATTTCAGTTGAAACCACAAAGAGATAAAGTATAAAATATGGCAAAACTGTATATTGAAGTCTGTGGACTACAAGAGGGATATATTAACAACCGAATACAATGTAGAATAACTAGATTAGTTTTCAGTTCTGTGTCAAAACTGAAATCTGCAAATGAAACTCCAAACATGGTGACATCTGGGTTCTAACCTTTTAAAATAAAAACCTGGAAAAAGTTTCTTACTTAGACCATCCACTGTCTATGTTTCCAAGCGCAAAAAAACAACATCTTTCTCCAATATTGATCCTCAATTGTTTAAAGAAATATTGTTTTATGAGCATTCACTGGAGCAATACCAAGTAAAGCTATCTTTCCTATGATTGGGCAAAGTGGTCTTCAACAATATCAAAGCCACATTAATTCAAAGATCAGTTTATTTGGTGAGACCACTGGTTGAGAACAACATCTTTGATTCCATGACTGTCATTCGATACTAAATCCCTGTTTGATGGTACATCCATGAATCAAGCTTGCCCCAGTCTTGTAAAGACTTGTGTATCAGTTCTTAAGAGTAAGTAGATTTAGAATTTTAAAAATAGCGTGGTATGGTGGTGCTTCTATCAAATATTGTTCACACATCCAAAGTTTCCTGTTAAATCTTTCTGCAACTTTAAGTATCTATTTCAAGTCACACAGTTCATAATTTATTCAAAAACTCTTTGATACTTTTTTGTTTTTTTACATTCTATACTAATGACAGTGGGGCAGTACATCCTTCTAGGTTAAGGGGGGAAATAAGGACTGTGAAAAAAGCAACAGAAAACTTTCTGTGGAAGAATAGACAAGAATTTCATTTGTTCCAACAACAACTAAATCGTCATATCAAATGTGCATGTATTCAGGGAGAGAGGTAGCAAAAAGATCAGTGATCTAAACTATGCACCAAGGGGTTTGGGTCCAAATCATGGTCAGACCCTTAATTCTTGAGCAAGAAACATGTAAATCATTACTCATTACAAACAGTGTTCTGCTTTTGTCCCCCTGACAAGTAGAAAAACTTTAGCATCTATATCAGCAGTGATAGTTGCTAATTTGATAATCTATACTTGAAAGTCTTGCAAAAAGCTGTTAGTAATGGTTTACTGCTTAACATTATTTTGTGGACTTAACTTAAGTGAAAACAATATTTGTATTAAGTATTCTGTGATACATGCATCACAAACAATATCCTTTTCTGCTTATCCATAGAATTTGAAAAAATTTGGCATTTTGGCGGGAAAACTGTGATGGCTGAGTCCAAGGTTGACCGTTACCATTTTAGCTGCTTAAAATTCTCCTTGAGTTTTTTTTTTTTTTTTCGGATTATTAAAATTCATTTCTGGCAACTTTGGGTGATTTTAGGTTGCCAAATGGGACTTTGAAAGAAGTTGAACTTGGAGCCATACTTTGAGCACTCCTTTTCATCCTGGTGGGGTAAGAATAAGTACCAGTGAACTGTCTAGGAAATGTAATGAACTTCTAAAGGGTTGTAGCAGTGAACTACCATCCTATCCACGGGAAGTACCGTGTAGCAAAAGTATTTCTAGTTGCTTCATGATATAGACCCTTTAATAAATAACAGGCACGACAATTATCATTTTACATGTATGTAAATAGGCCTTTTTAGCCTAAATTTTAAGTGAAATTCTATTCATTTTTCACAAGTTGACAAGGCCTGAACGGCCCATAAAAAATAACAATTAGACCTCCTGTACGTGAAATAAGTCAGTACTGACCAAAATAACTTTTAGTTGTAAAGGCCAACAAGCCTTGAGGGGGTCTCTGTGTTACCTTAAATATTAAAGTATCAGATTTTGCCAGAGATTTTTTCAACGAGCCATGAAAAGAGGTGCATGTAGCTGGTGCAAAACAATTAAGTGCCAAATTAAGGGCACAAGCATTGATTCTGCTTTCATCTATTCTCCTAGCTTTCACTATGTGTTTTCATTCCAGTTTTAATTAATTCATCTTTTTGGGGCTCATACAGAGTTAAAGCACAGGTCAAAATTCATTTCACATCCAGACTGTTATTTTCCTGTTTTGTCTACTCCAAGTAAAAGAAGCTTCATTTAAGCAAGTAGCTGGTGAATAAATATATCTTATTAGACATTTTGTAACGTAGTATCGCCGAGTATTTTTACGAGTTGTGTCATCCGTAGGGCGAGTCAAATTACATATAACGAGTAAAAATACTCAGCGATACTACACAACAAAACATCTAATAAGTTAATTATTATCCAACACGCCAAACTGTTGTTTCAGCGGGCAAATTTCGCAGATATTTATTTACTGGGAGTATGTGACAGAAGTTTGCGAAGCGGAACGGAATTGGGGCGTTGTTGTGCTGCTGTTTCTATTTTCTTCATCAAATGAAGAAATTTTCTGGTCGTCAAGCTTTTTTTCTTTGTTCGATTCATCAAATGAACTTAGATCTATATTTGCCAGCCATTCTGACTCTTCGTCACCAGAAATATGATTCAAATTGTCCGCCACTTTTTTTTTTCGAAACTACAGCCAATTCTTCGCTTGCACGATGCGAGAAAACCTGTTTAACTGGTACTACAATAGACGAGTACAAATACCACGTGATATTTGTACTCGTCTATGGCGTTATTCGTACTCATCTAGGTGTAGTTGGATAATAAAGCTGGCTACTACATGTAATGCCTCTGGAGAACACTGCATCTTTTGGTTCATTCTTGGAAAATTTACTCACTGCACATTCTTCTAAACATACATGTATACCTCTTGATAGGTAAGGATCAAGGAGTTTGGCTCTTTTCTTTTCATAGCCCTTCTGAGTTATGTCACCTACAAAGAAACACAACCATATGTTACAAAATGTAGAAGAATATTCTATGCTGCAGGCAGCCACCATCTGAAAAACAGCTTTAGATGAAGTAAGGTACGTAGGATGCAGGCGACATGACAACTACCCATCTTTAATGACTAAGCTGAATTCTAACCTTATGTTTGCATTTATTATTACCCAATGGCTTTGTTGTTTACTGCTACATGTAGTTTGTGTAATTTCAGATTTCCTTTCACATTAGAGTGGTAAATTTTGCCAGCACATGTATTCAACTCTTCCACCCCCCCTGGAGTGACCAAAGAAGAATTTCCCATACAAAAAAAATCAATCTGTTTTATATTAAAAGGGTTAAGAAATAAAGAAAAATATCAAGTAGAGAATGTTTGATTCAAGAACAAATTCTTGTGACAAAAGTTATGAAATGTATAGCAGACAGTGCAGAGAATTTGACATTTTGATCTTGGAAGTAAGAGGGTTTAGTGCCAAGAGCTTGCATCAGACTGAATCCACCTGGTTACACTAAACACCTCACTAAAACCACTCTGGAGAATAAAAATTTCAAGGTTGATTGCCTTAAAGATAAGCTAAACTTTAAACAGTTTTGTAGGCATTAATAACAACATGCACCTTAGTGACAAATAATGTAAAGAGCAAAAAGTAATTTTGTCATCTTGTTCGGTTGCACTGATTGTAATAGAAGTGAAATAAAATGCATATCAGGGAACTGAAACGAAATGTAAATTTTATGCATTGTGCATCCAAATCGGTGTTTAATCTAAGCAAAGCAATTGAAATGTATTCCAACGAATGACAATGAAGTATTTAAACGTCCCATCACTTGAAAGTTGCTCTTGACTGACGAAGCAGTTTCCACTAAATCTAGGCTAGGAAAAGTCAAAGGCAACAATATGAAGTTTCTGTGATATGACTAGTGTGCACAAGGTCGTGTCCAAGGTGTCTCTAAATGTAAACTCAAATACCGTAGCCATCTTCATATTCAAATTAACTCGCAATTACCATATTCAATTATCAACATTCGACTACGAAAGACCGAAGAAAATTCACGAATCGTTCCAAAATATCGATCCTTCAAACGGAAAATGCAAGAGTACATTCCAGATCATCACAAATAAACAAAAACAACCTCGCGTACACACAAATATTGACATAAACAACAAAAGATAGTCAAATTCAAATGATTGATTCTTGGCGTCTCGACCATTTTATGTAGCTAAACTGCTTTATCATAGATAATATTTAACACTGCAAGCTTGTCATGTTTTCGCATGGCTCCGACTAATTTTTAAGAATCTTCCGCAACCCGTTTTAAAACTAAAATTATGTCGACATTTTCAAGCTGTCAAAAACTTCTTCACCCTGTTCATTCAATTGGGTGCTACCTTGTGGCTAGAGCATTCTTTCAAAATGCCATTCATACAGAGGTCACAACATGAAGTAAGCTTATTGACGATTTTGAGTCAAAACATTGAAAAAGTCAGTAGAAATCTGCGAGAAATTAACTCATGTTGCCCGACAAAAATTTATTAACATCGCTTGATGGATTGTACTTTCGCAATAATAACTAATACTTTACTATGTGCATAGTTTCAAGATCATTACAGTTTATCTTTTTCCGATTTCATGAGTTTTTAAAACATGATGTTGACAAAGTCATCACCAAGTCGTGATCATACAGGAAAATACAGAGTGTAATCTCTTAATATATGCATGACTTCATATATTTTATTCCTGAGTTCAAACGCAACGAAATGTAGTGACATAATTCAAGGTATGCGAGGATTTCGCTATTACGAGCCCCGAAGGGATTTTACTCGAGTTCACACCACTTATAAATCAGGACAAGCCAAACAGCTTTAGAATTGCTGCTTTTCAATTAAGATCCCCCAAAATTTTCCGTAAATAAGACATCTGCACATTCACTTCCCTTCATTTCGTCTCTGGTCAGTTCAACTCACTCACCTTCGGCAAGCTCTGTATTCAGCTCGCGTAGTTTTTCAAGCACTTGTGGCGGTAAGGAAGATTCTGGCGGCTCTGTCATACTTGCTGGTCTTGATCGCAGTAAAGGTTCTGCCGAAAAAATGACAAAATTCAAGACATGAATTGGGCGAGGCGACAACTGCTATCAACTATGTTTACGTGCAGTACTCGCGATCAAGCGCAACTACACTCGAGTACCACGTGACAAATTTCCCTGGACTGCTACCCAGCGTGCAACGGGATCACTATAAGAGACATCTTCCGCAAATATTTACTCTAATGGTTAATGATTATAAAATTCTTCTCATTTGGAATCTTCATTTAAAACACCTATAAGATTTTTTATTCTCTAAGGAATGTATGGTAACATGCTTCTGATTTTTATCGATCCGTGGTCGTGGAGAGATTGCGTGACATTTTCGCTTTTGATTGTCACGCACTCCGCTCTCCGTTTTTAAAAGGTTCTATCTCAGTCAGTTTCTTTTTCGCGATTAAGTTAATTTAAGGAATAATTTCCAGGTAAAAATACATGTCTGAAAATCCGACACTGCAATGCAGAGCTGTTGATAAAACCACTTTAGATCAAATGTGAGAATTTTAATATGTTATTCAAAATATGTTATTTTAATCAACGAAAAAGGCCCCAATGCAGGCGTATCAATAATCATTTCGCACCCAAGTATTTTCTCCATAAATTTTTTTTGCGGGGTTTTTATTTCTTAACGCAGTGTTTCCGTTTAAATAAGTCTGTTTCTTCTGTCCTCTATGATATTTTCTTGATGTAGCAGGATGTCTCCGTCAAAAAGTGCGACTGATACAGGTAACAGGTGCAATCATAATTAACATATGAAATAAAATTGAGCCAAAAAATATCAACGTTATTGAAACATCCTCGAAACATCCAGCGGTATATATACAACTCGAAGAGGCTTCACGCACACTCCGGAACAAAATTGTTTGTTTAAGTTCTTGAATTCAAGTCCTTCTTATTCCCCGTTAGATTAATTCGCTGAAGTCAGATCAATGGTACTTGGAATAAATATTTAAAACCATCGTGGTTTGTTTTCATCAATAACCCCTGCTACCTTGCAAATATAATTCCTTTTAATCCCGACGTTAACTCGATGAAATGAAATTTCCTATCATACGACATTTCATTTTGCAGCTGTTTACATTGACGCTATGAAGTCAATGTCATTTCAAAGTGAGCTAGTAGCTTCACACTAAATTGCACAGTCGTGTCAGTGTTCAAGATTCAATTTAAACTACGAATGAAGATCGTCTCTGTGGGGTGTCAGTTCTTTTCTTCTTCTCCCTTTTATTTTCCACTAAGAAAATAAATCACCTCACTTACCGTTGAAACGGATATTGCGGGGATACGACCATCGTTTATAAACGGCCATTTTCGCGGCCCGGCGCTGTTTTTCCTTATAAATAAACTGCTCTGACAAGATGACGAGGCGACGAAAGGAAAACCTGAATTGTTTTAAAAAGGCTTTTTTCTGGTATGACGTCACATAGCAATTGTTTAGACGTTATATAGACAACGTTTAAAAATTCCACGTGGAATGTTTATGGCGGAAACTAACTGGAGGCTAACTAATGTTCGCAAACATTGCTTAATCGGCTTTAAGGTTTTCTTTTCAGTTTTTTTTTTTTTTCAGAATGATGTTTGCCTTATTTCAGATCATCTGGTTTTCTTTTACATGTTTTGGACAGTTCTGTCGATTGCTGTTCTAGACACAAATTTCTCTCAGACATTACCATAAATATTCATGTTTTCTGTAACAGCGAGATAATGGTCATTACTCCTTTTTCCCTTCCCCTTTAACAATATATACAAAAGCAGACGCACTCACGCAAAAGTCAAATGTCACAGGTTTCTCTCAGCTCGAAACTTCATCAAAGAGATCGAACAAAAAATGTTTTATACTATCGGTTGAACTCTTAGACTACGGTAAAGCCACCATTTGTACGCAAAACTGTTTCCTTAGAACTTATTTCAATACGCAATATATAATTCAATATATGCAGAGCTGATTTCTTAAATAGTTTTTAAACTCAATTCGTATAACCCCGGCGCGATCTTCCTTCTCCTAAAATTGATATATTAAAAAAATTCCGAACAGAAAAATGCTTTTTCTAAATGTGTTTTAGGCTGTGGAATGCGTTATCAATAGGTTAAGGTATCAGTGGCAAAAATATAAGCCGTGAGGCGTAAAAGTTGACAAATTTGAGAAGAAAATTAATCGTTAAAATGTTGCTGGTGACCACAATGGGAAGATGTTACTGTTAGCCGTAAATTAGCCAAAATTTTAACCGTTAAACCAATTGAGACCCTCTACCAAGAGAATATATTTGAACAGCACTCCAGGATATTTTGTCCAGCACCCGGACTGTTGTGTTTGTAAAGCTAGGTCGTTAGCTAAAGGCCAGGCCACTAAGCCCTTACTACTGCTGTCCTGTTCTTTGCGATCTACACGTGTTTCTTCGTTTGTGATTAAAGCCATTCAGAAACCCAATCTGTGTGGTTTTTCCCTCGTCCGAACGCAACACGGACAAACGAAGAAAATTACTAAAATACACGTAAAAGTCTGGAACAAAAGCAGAATATTTTAAATAATCAGTGTAATATCCGAGCTTTTACTTGATAATGATAAACAATTTTTGACTAATTTCTTAGTAAGAATTGCTCAAGTATTTCTGAACTCTGATTGAATTTCGTCTAGGCAGTTAGGCAGCTTGGATAATTAAGTTAGTTAGTCAATCTTATTTAGTGACCCACCATAAAGGCTAGCTATTTGCAGGTCAGCCAATGTTGTATTGATAATCTGAAAATTGAATCGGAAAGTGTCAAGTGTACGACCATCAAGTCGTTGGCCCATACCACTAAAGAAAAAACTTAGAATAAAAATCTGAAATCAAGATAATAAGCCAAAGTCAAACTGGAGTGTTTTAAGAAAACTAAGCAATTTGAGAATTTATCGTTTTGATTGTACGTTTTGCCATATGATTCCCTTTCGTAGATTTCCCTTTTCGTAGATCTTAAAAGATGTTCTTTCCAGGTTAACATTTTATGATAAAATGTATTTATATGGTCTTAAATGAGTTTTACAGTCACTATCGTGAAATAAAGTTTGAATGCAACTTTTTGCTCTACCATGTCTTCCTTTCCCGGCGGTTTCAAGTAGATGAGTTCATTTCTAATCAATTGGTATATCGCCTTCACGTGAATGTAGGGCTGAGTTTTTTTTTTTTTTTTTACTTTGTTTGAATAAGAGCTTTGAGTAGCTCGAAAGAAGGAGTTGATGGACATGCATTCGAACCTTCAGAGGGAAGTATGTAAATAGAACCAAAGCTAAGAAAATTTAATTGCTTGTGGCATCGTTAAAACCACAATGGCTACAACGATCGCATTTGAAGGTCCTTTGATCTAACCTACAAAACCACTCAAAAGCATGATTGACAACAACTGCCATATGACGACAATGAGGAAACTTTAAAAATACTAAAAGAGCTCGTAAATTCATTTTTTCAATTGCTCAAAGGCTCAAATTATACGAAAGGAAAGCATGTGGATTTATGAAATGTACAGTCGAACCAATCATCAGCCGACCACCCTGAGATAAAAAGATGTATTCAAAGCACTAGATTGGAGGTGTTGCGTTTTAATCAACATACTCACCAGGCAACCAGCAGATTACAAAGAGGTAAGTGAAGGCGGCAGCTTATTAAGAACTGGTTCATTATTTATTGCCTGAGAGGGGGGGAGGGGTCGGGAGATCTTGAGGGGGATCACATGGTTTTCATCGGAAACATAGGGGGGGGTCAGTCGTCGGTAACAGAGTATAAAGGAGGAGGGGGATTGTAAAAAATTGGCTGACAACGAGGGCGGATTATGAGAATACTATAGAACTTAAAAGGGAGATCGGGTAAATGTTATTGTGACAAAACCAAAATCCCCTGACTAAATGAGAGATATAAGATGGAGATAAAAAATGACCGGTTCTGATAACAATCAATAAAGTCCACAGTTGGCTAATGTGGTCATAGATGAGAGTGGAATAAACCGGGTTATCGTCGTAACATATTGAGTTTTTTTCTACGAAAACTAAGACGGAGACTGAGTTTTATAGAAATTGGTTGCTGTTATTTTGAAATTGGTTGTTGTTATATTTTTTTTTGTTTAAAAAAATAACAACAGTCAGAGGCAACCAATTTCTATAAAACTCATGACATCTCCTCACTACACTTTTTCCATTTTTTAGACAGAGACTTTCTCTCAGTTTTTATTTATCTGCAATGAACGAGTTGTGCCTGCCGCTACCGCCAATAATGTTGCCGTGAGTGTGCTTTTTACATTGAACAATTGTCGTTAGATTTCTTTCCAACATTCAAAATGTAATTTTGTAGCTATCATATCGCTCAAAATTATCCAGAATCAATGTGACAGACACCATTGACAAGTTTCATCGTGTTTAGAACATCATTTACCCTAGCTCTCCAGCGTTTTTCTTAGTTACATCGAAGGTAAAACGGGGAAAATTTATTCTACTTTCGCCTTATTTCAGGATAAATGCTTTGTTAAACCCGAGGTATTTGTAATTTCTCCCAGGAGAGCATATCCGGACGCCTGGCTAAAGCCATGAGGTTAAAGCGCAACAATTCATCTGGATTCAGTTTAGGATTTTCTGAACAATGTTATAGTCAACCAGCTGAAAAGTAAACCAGTGAAGTGCAAGTGATATGAGAAGACAGTTAATTTTTTGTATAGGATTTTCAAAACAATGTTATAGTAATATCAGCAGGAAAATAAAACCAGTGAAGTGCAAGCGGTATGGGAAGAAAATGCTACATTCAAATAAACAAATTACAAACCTGTTTCCTTTGACTGTATCCCGGATGCAGTAGACCCGTATACCGAATATCGAAAAAGCGTGCTAAAAATCCAGGCCATTGTGCTGGCTGTTGAACCCACCGCGACGTATGAAACCCACACAACAATTTTAGAGGACTTACAAAGAAAAACAAAGGATTTGTACAGCATTTATAGCTGGGGTGTTTGTATAGTCTACTGTTGTTAAACCGCGACAAGCACTTGCGTAAACCACCAGTAGAAGTTTTTGAAACAAGAGATTTGATTGGTTCGTCGGTTTTGCATGCTGTTACCAGTCCATGTCGAATATTTGACATGTTTGTAAGATTGTTATTTACCCCGCATAGTCATTTACAATCATTGAGGGCATGATATTTAGGAGGTTGTCGGAAGGTTTTATTGACCACCGCCTTTTTTCAAAACTACAGGCGTGCAATGACAAAGGTTTCTATACTGATTTCCCGGGCAACTGTGTGAAACAAGTAAGTCTTTCGATCGAATTTATTTTCCGTCGCACGTCTCGTCTTTCCTAACCTGATCGTTTTAAGTCGAAGTTACAGAAATAGAGTTTGGTTCAAGCACGTTTACGAGCTAATTCGACCGATCGTAAAGGTTCACTTCTCTTACAGAGCAGGAGCGTGGTTGAGATGTTTTCAATGGAGGACTGGGTTACAATTGCGAATTTCCGCACGTATCAGTTGGAGAGAGGGTTGTACCGCTGTTCCTCTTCTCTCGTACATCGTTATCTCGGTAAATGGAGTATGTAGCAATAGAAAAGGTTTATTCCAAGTAACACAGCGGTCAAACGTCGCGCATGCGCGAGGGGACCAGTTCCGACCTGCCGCGTAAAATTCAAAGGAAAAAAACACTAGAAACAACCATTGTCTCGCAGAGTAGGCGAAAGAAAATTGAGACGCTCATGAAAATAAGTAAAGGGAAAGAAAAGCAGGAAAAGGAAAACTCGAGACTCTTCGAACACAAAGCTTTTTCAAGTACGAGTATCTTGTTGATTTACCATTCTGTTTTGAGCTCTAACAAAAAAAAGCTATACGCTTTTAAAACATTATGACGTATAAGCTTGTGTGGTTTCGGCGGTGGATCTAGGGGAGGGACCGGGGGTTTGCCCCCCTTCTTTTGGGTTAAAAAAATAAACGCAGAAAGAAGAAAATCCTTCAGATGTACACACACAAAATACCTTTCCCCCCCCCCTTCCACCCTTAGCTCAAGGTCTCGACCGCCATTGAGGTTTTTGTAACTCGTGTTCCATGTAAGTTCCCTTTTGGCAGCCTGAAAGCTTGTCACCCAGTCTTTACGACATGAACATATGTTCAGACGTTTGACCGTTGTGTTTCCCTTGACACGCCCCTAAAAAGGTTGATAACATTTATCCTGCGAAGCGTGAAATTATCTTCAGTGTGACCAAATGAAGAGGAGAGGACTGTGACGGAAGCTCTTGGTCCAGGCTTCGGGACATGTCAACTCTTCCAAAGTTTCTTTTTTTATAGCTATTCTCTCGAATTGGAGAGTCCCTGTGAAGAGTAACCTTGGAAAAGGCTCACGAGCCGCTGACGATGCTATATCGATACTGATAATCTCATCACACTTTAGGCACAAGCTAACACCTTGCCAGTCTTTCCTAAGAAATTTTTCAATTATTTTTATGATAAGTTCAGTGCTAATTCTTTATCACAAGAAATTGCTTTAATATGTTTTATGATAACCTCTGTGCCAATTTGTTTTCGTAATAATCTTATCTCTTTTATGAGTTAAGAGTATTTTTTTTACACTAATTTTCTAAGTAGGTAAATAATCAAGGCGGCTCATTGTAGGGAATCTTGCATTCTGTTTTAAGCTGTCATCAAACTGATTAAATTGGCTTATTCAATGTAATTAATGTGGAATTTGTATTAAAGATTAAAGTTTGTGAAGTGCAACTGATTGGACAGACGGCAAAATGAAATATGTTTGTTGTATACAATGAAAGGGACAATAAATTAAATTAACTTAATAAAGTATTATTATTACTAACAGTTTCTTATGGTTTCAGTTTCTTTGGGTCCGTGTTGAAGTTCTAGTCAAGTTAATTCTAAAGAGAATTCAATATAAGGCAGCACGCATAATTCATAATTTGTCAAAGGATATAGCTTCTGTTGCCCTCAGATGTGTTAAGTAGCCTACACTTTGTTCAGTTGTAAGGTCCTAACCACACTGAAGCGCTTTCAGTCGTAAGACTGCTGCATTTCCATTTGATGCGTTTTCGTCCTCCGTCTACACTGGAACACCCAAAAATGCAAGTGAAAGTAACAGTATATGACTCATTTTTGGTCAATTTTTTCAATCTCATAGCTTTCAAATTATCACGTGGCAATACAGATCATGATTTTGATGACAGAAGGGTGCGAAATAGGTTGTCATCAGTGGCTTAACTGAGGGTTCACGAATCACCTTAGGAGAAGGCTAGCATTTAGTGCTCACGTGGTTATGCTTTGCTTTCACCCTTTCCCCCTGTGACATGAAAAGGGGCTAAATTTTCTATTAGCCTAGGGTCAGGACTTTGTTCCCGCATGTTTTCCTGTTCACTTATAACTTTCTGAAACATTCGCGGTCCCATAACTATTCCACTGGTGAGGTGTTCGTTTTCACATCTCTCTTCGGCAGAATTTCTTGTCGCTGATTTCAGTTGTTCATATCGATATTTACTACAGCTCTTCTTCGCAGTCAAAAGGTGTTGCCGTTGTAATCTGTGCTTTTCTTTCAATTCCAGGGCCAACTTGAAAATCTGGGATTTAAAGTCCGCAAACATTTGTCTTATCTCTGTAGACAGCAGGTATACTTGTGTGTTGTCTGGAATGCAAAGGAAAGAACGAAATATGTTTTAAACCCGGCAGAGTACGACCGTAACCATTGGTATCTAAAACTCCCGTCAAAGCTCTTCTTGTACCTAATATCCACACACATGGAACATTCGTTCTGTCGCCCTCGTCACAGCCAGATAGTGGGATGACTGGTAAGGGAACACTGCTTATTTCATTATTATGTTCTTGTTAAACCGCTAAATTGTCTTTTCGCAATTGATCTTTTCAGGTTTTGTTAATCAGTACTGTGGGCGGATCCAGGAGATTTTGATAGGAGGGGATCCAAACTTTGAATCAGAAAACATATATATATATTTTTTTTTTTTTCGCTAAGTAAGCTAAGAAATATTTCGCGAAGAGTAAATTTTAAATACTTTAAGTTAAATTTCAAATACCTCATGTTAAATTACAAATACTTCAAGTTTATCAGTATTTTGTTCTTGTCATTGCAAGAATTGTGTAGTCTGACGTGTAACAAAATAGCCCACAAGTTTGAAAGAGGCCAGAGAAATGTGCCAGGGTAATTATTGCCTGGTGAAAGTTGCAAGATGGTTAGTTACCTTGAGGTCGTATTCTCGATCTTTTTCGCACACGATTGATGATTTCCCATATTACACCTAACAGAATACCGACGCCCAGAGCCCCTGAGAGGATCATCAGGTTTTGCCTGAATAACTGGTTACTGCTGTCAAACACACCTGTGGAACGTTCCACCTCTAATGGTTCAGGAGACTCCTGAAAAAGAGTAAAAACACAAAGTGTTTGAGTCTGGAAGGAGAAAACAGATGTATTGCAGTCTTTATGAAAAATACACACGAGTATAGGTATCTAACAGTTTATTAAATTGAATATATCAACAAAGTTGAAATAGTAAATTGGCCACCTGTTACGATTATAAAAGCTGACGTTTCGAGCGTTAGCCCTTCGTCGGAGCGAATAGAGGAATTGTGGGTTGTGTGTGCTTTTAAAGGCAGAAAATGGAGCTACGTTATTGGTGGGAACATGGCAACGAGAAAAACACGAATAAATTAGTGGAATGAAAAGCGTTCGTTGATACCTGTGGGATTTAGACTGCCGGTTTGAAAGATGAGCTTTTGTTCAAGAGTTTTACGGCTTTCCGTGCTACCTAAGTGTAAGGAAAGACCGCAGATTGCCATATGTTGCTTAGAATGATTAGGTAAATTAAAATGTCTAGCGACTGGTTTCGATGTGTCCTTGTCATTCCTCTCCACGTCGCGAAGGTGTTCTCGGAATCGGTCACCTAGTCTTCTGCCTGTTTCGCCGATGTAAATCTTTTTGCAATAAGTGCAAGTTATGCAATAGATTACATTGGCGGAGGTGCACGTGAAGTGATCGGTGATCTTAATGGATCGTTTGGGTCCCGATATTTTCTCAGTGTTGTGAATGAAAGGACAC